CAAATCGTGTTAACCAATCTGTGTATGGCCACCTGAACGTCAAATCGTGTTAACCAATCTGTGTATAACTACCTGAACGTTAAATTGTGTTAACCAATCTGTGTATGACCACCTGAATGTCATAACGTGTTAACCAGTCTGTGTATGACCATCTGAACGTCAAATCGTGTTAACCAATCTGTGTATGACCACCTGAACGTCAAATCGTGTTAACCAATCCGTGTATAACCACCTGAACGTTAAATCGTGTTAACCAATCTGTGTATGACCACCTGAATGTCAAAACGTGTTAACCAGTCTGTGTATGACCATCTGAACGTCAAATCGTGTTAATCAGTCTGTGTATAACCACCTGAACGTCAAATCGTGTTAACCAATCTGTGTATGACCACCTGAACGTAAAATCGTTTTAACCAATCTGTGTGTGGCCACCTGAACGTCAAATCGTGTTAACAAATCTGTGTATGGCCACCTGAATGTCAAAACGTGTTAACCAGTTTGTGTATGGCCACCTGAACGTCAAATCGTGTTAACCAATCTGTGTATGGCCACCTGAATGTCAAAACGTGTTAACCAATCTGTGTATGGACACCTGAACGTTAAATCTTGTTAACCAGTCTGTGTATGGCCACCTGAACGTCAAATCGTGTTAACCAGTCTGTGTATGGACACCTGAACGTTAAATCGTGTTAACCAACCTGTGTATGGCCACCTGAACGTTAAATCGTGTTAACCAACCTGTGTATGGCCACCTGAACGTCAAATCGTGTTAACCAATCTGTGTATATGGCCACCTGAATGTCAAAACGTGTTAACCAATCTGTGTATGGCGACCTGAACGTTAAATCGTGTTAACCAATATGTGTATGGCCACCTGAACGTCATATCGTGTTAACCAATCTGTGTATGGCCACCTGAACGTTAAATCATGTTAACCAATCTGTATATGACCACCTGAACGTCATATCGTGTTAACCAATCTGTGTATGGCCACCTGAACGTTAAATCGTGTTAACCAATATGTGTATGGCCACCTGAACGTCATATCGTGTTAACCAATCTGTGTATGGCCACCTGAACGTTAAATCATGTTAACCAATCTGTATATGACCACCTGAACGTCATATCGTGTTAACCAATCTGTGTATGGCCACCTGAATGTCAAATCGTGTTAACCAATCTGTGTATAACCACCTGAATGTCAAATCGTGTTAACCAATCTGTGTATAACCACCTGAACGTCAAATCGTGTTAACCAATCTGTGTATGGCCACCTGAACGTCAAATCGTGTTAACCAATCTGTGTATAACTACCTGAACGTTAAATTGTGTTAACCAATCTGTGTATGACCACCTGAATGTCAGAACGTGTTAACCAGTCTGTGTATGACCATCTGAACGTCAAATCGTGTTAACCAATCTGTGTATGACCACCTGAACGTCAAATCGTGTTAACCAATCCGTGTATAACCACCTGAACGTTAAATCGTGTTAACCAATCTGTGTATGACCACCTGAATGTCAAAACGTGTTAACCAGTCTGTGTATGACCATCTGAACGTCAAATCGTGTTAATCAGTCTGTGTATAACCACCTGAACGTCAAATCGTGTTAACCAATCTGTGTATGACCACCTGAACGTAAAATCGTTTTAACCAATCTGTGTGTGGCCACCTGAACGTCAAATCGTGTTAACAAATCTGTGTATGGCCACCTGAATGTCAAAACGTGTTAACCAGTTTGTGTATGGCCACCTGAACGTCAAATCGTGTTAACCAATCTGTGTATGGCCACCTGAACGTCAAATCGTGTTAACCAATCTGTGTATGGCCACCTGAATGTCAAAACGTGTTAACCAATCTGTGTATGGACACCTGAACGTTAAATCGTGTTAACCAATCTGTGTATGGACACCTGAACGTTAAATCTTGTTAACCAGTCTGTGTATGGCCACCTGAACGTCAAATCGTGTTAACCAGTCTGTGTATGGACACCTGAACGTTAAATCGTGTTAACCAACCTGTGTATGGCCACCTGAACGTTAAATCGTGTTAACCAACCTGTGTATGGCCACCTGAACGTCAAATCGTGTTAACCAATCTGTGTATATGGCCACCTGAATGTCAAAACGTGTTAACCAGTCTGTGTATGGCCACCCGAACGTCAAATCTTGTTAACCAATTTGTGTATGGCCACCTGAACGTTAAATCGTGTTAACCAATCTGTGTATGACCACCTGAACGTTAAATCGTGTTAACCAATCTGTGTATGA